ACAATTAACAATACAGAGATTGTTTTTCTACCATCCCATACACCCATCTTATTTTACAACAACCCTATTACTTCTTCTTCCTTCCTTTCCTCCCTTCTTCTCCTCTTCTCTACTTTCTTCCTTTCTCTTCTCCTTTCCCTTCTCTACTTCCCCTGCCTCTCCCCCATTCCTCCCCTCTTCTTCACGTTCTTCCCCTCTCTCCTACTCTTACTTCCCCTCCATTTCTTCCTCTCCTTTTTTCCCCTCTCCTTTCTCCTCTCTTTCCTATCTTTCCCTCTACTCCTCTCTCCATTCCCTCTTTCTGTTGTTGTGTTTACATATTTTCCTCTTCAATCTGGTGTATTTTCGGGATGGTTCTGTATTTATATAACAATCTTAAATTCCCTCTTCCACAATTTATTTTCATTTTAATACTTACACATACATCATCCTTTAAATGTATATTTGTGTATCAATACCTTTCTGTTTCCCCCCTCTTCTCCCTCCTTCATTTGGTAGTGTGTCATCTTAGTTTCTCTTTCTCTTTTTCTTTGTCCTGTCCAATTATTTGATCTATGTTCTTTTATTCATATTCCTTTTCTAGCCAATCATAAAATCGTCCCCACATCTTGAAGTACACTGATTCCTCCCTATCGTTTATTCTCAATGTTAACCTATTCATTTCTGCACCATCTAAAATTTTCTTTATTATCTCTCCTTCTGAAGGGATTTTTTTCTGCTTTCCAGTTTTGTGCAAATACAATTCTAGCTGCTGTTATTACATTAGTCATACATTTCTGTTCCTCCCAGGGTCCCCCTCTGCACCTCGGACATCTATTTCTCTGAGATTGTGCAACTGCCATGTAAGCCCAGAAAAAGGCATAATGTTTTGAAGGAAGCACCAGCAAGTGTAGCGTATCTGCCAATATTAATTCTGGAAGGCTGCACATGCCCGGTTAATAGGATAATTTTTCATCCAGTGACAAAGCAGCAATGAAGCAGTGTATGACATTAATGTATTTGTAATTGCTCCCAGATTTGTACAGTCATAACTGAAAACTTGGCAATTACCATTGATCTCTAATACTCCAATATGTGAAGGGCTGCCACAACGAAAAGGGGCCAACTCATTTACCAAAGTACCGGTAGGCCAGACAAGAAAGAAGGGATGGAAACTAATCAAGGAGAGAAGCTACCTAGAACTAAGGAGAAATTCCTAAGAGTGAAAACAATTAACCAGTGGAATGGCTTGCCCTCAGAAATTGTGAATGCCCCAATATTGGAGGCTTTTAAGAAGAGACTGGATAGCCACCTATCAGAAACAGTATAGGTCTCTGGCAAGAGCAGGGAGTTGGACTAGTTGACTTCCAAGGTCCCGTCCAATTCTGTTACTGTTATCTGATATGCACATGGGTAACAGATAAGGAAGCATTAACTTGCATTATAGATTGGAAGTCTAGCAAATCTTGGGTGACAAATCTAAAGGTTGTTCAAAAGCTTAAAATATATTTTTTACACTATATTAAACACTGAACACAGTAGATTTCAAGAGACCAAATCTGTTACGACTGGGTGGATTATTATTATTATTAATGAAAAGAGCCATCCAAGGGTCTGTTTGGCAAGCTATACAGACCAATCAAATCCAAATGCCAAGAAGAACAATGTTCGAATGGATGTATAGAACTGGAAATGTCAGGAAACGGCTTTTCTCACCCCTATATGATTAACTGCACTATCTCCTAAAATTCTGACCTCTCTACAATTGTAGAGTGGTTGTCATAGGAGACAACATTTCGTATTTCTGAAGATCTTGCTCCTTGTATTTCGTGTCACAAAGACTGCTTGCCAGAATTTAATTTGCAGCCTTTTGGCTGGGAACTCATGGCTTTGCAATTATCGCAAGGAACTGATAAGATCTCTTACTGCAGTTAACTCTTTGAAGGACTATTGCCTGGACTTTTCAGTGGGTGGATTCAATTAATTCACAAGAGGTAAATAAAGAGGGGTTTTTGTGTGTGTCGAAGAGTCTGTTTCTTGCTTCTGCTAAGGCTGGGTCAGAACATTTGTGTCCCGACAGCCGATCTCACCTTTTCTGATTCAACCTTTCCTGACTGACTCTGTGCTTTGCCTCCTTTTTCTCTTATTTTATCCAGAACGGTCAGCTTGTAACCTGCAAGACTGATAAGCGCATTTATCTATCCCAAGTAGCTAGGATTTTTTTTTCTCATATCACAGCCAAATTGATCCTCTTGATTCTAATGTTCAGTGCCTGTTCCCTAGCTTGCCTTTCCTTTTGCAGCCTTTGAATATTTCTAGTTATTTCCCATCAGCTAGCAGAGATAAACCAAACATTTAGCTTTCGTTCTAAAGAGCCAGCTTTATCTCCAAAAGTGTTAAGAGAGTAAGCAAAGCAATCCAAATTCCAAAGTACTCTACTAAAAATGCTCATTTTTACAAAATTTTGTATCAATGAATGAAAAGTCTTCAGGGTTGCATCCCTCAGATGGCACTCATAATACTGATGATGAGAACCATTCCTTGCAAGTTTATTTTATTGCTAAGAGGCCTGTTTCTTATTTCAAGAAAGATTCATTATTTATGTTCCTCCTTCTAGAGTCCGGTGGGCCATCCTTCACTATCGGCAAGTCCATCTGGCTACTCTGGGCTCTGGTTTTCAACAATTCTGTTCCCATTGAAAATCCCAAAGGCACCACCAGTAAAATTATGGTCCTCATCTGGGCTTTCTTTGCGGTCATCTTCTTAGCTAGCTACACTGCAAACTTGGCAGCATTCATGATCCAGGAGCAATATATTGATACCGTCTCTGGACTGAGTGATAGAAAGGTGAGCAATAGTTATGATTTTATTAATATGATGTGAGGGTGGCAACCAATATTAATGACGGCGTAAGTTACCAGAAAGATCAACAGTAGCAACTTAATGCCTCCCATTTGTCCTAGAATCCCTTGTTATCGGCCATGCTGCTGGGAGCTGATGAGCTCCAAGTATGGTTTTGAGGTTTGTTGTTTAAGACATGGTTTAAGATGCTGTTACTCATCAGTGAAGGTTGGATTTGGTTTGTCCCCATTTTAAATAGAAGTCTAGGGCAGTGTGAGGCACAACAGTGATAATGGCTCTGCTGTCTTCCTTGGGGGCTCTCAGAGGATCATGCAGCCATGGGGCTGGTGAGCAGCCCTGAAGACCCTCCTCCTTCTTTTAATTAACATTGGATTTACAGTTAAATTGTTTTTATATTTTAATATTTTATTTGTACACGACTCAGAGTTGCTCTTTGAAAGTGATAAATAAATAAATCGATAAATGCATCAATACGACAAGGAGCACGCTGGTTCCAAATAGATTTCCAGATTCAACTCCAGGTGCATGTTCTTACCATTAAAGCCCTGCATGTCACAGAGCCAGGTTATTTTTGGAATAACTTTTCTCCAGTGGTTTCAACTAGGTCCAGCAGGGCAGGCAGGCTCTGGATACTTATAGGTAGGGATGGGCTGCTGGCGGTTCGCAGGGGTTCAGGAGAACCTCTAGCTAAGATTCTGTGCAGTTCAGAGAAACCCCACACAGCCTGTTTTGGATGCAGGTAAGTGCAGTGAGGAGGCTCGGGAAGGGTGAAAAATGAGCCTACAGGAACTTCAGGAAGGCTGGAAATGGGCCCGTTTCAGGCCTCCAGGGGGCCTCTGGAGCATGGAAAGGCCATTTTCACCTTCCCGGAGGCTCGAGGAAAGCCTCCAGAGCCTAGGGAGGGCAAAAACGCCCCCCCTCACCATGGTGCAGGAGATCCACCCCTGCCTATAGGAGAAGGAATGGCAGAGTCAGCTGAAGAGGTGAAAAGAGGAATCAGCCTAGAATCACTACATAGCCACAAACAAAGTCCAACCCCCCTTGACTTTTGTTGATCCTTATCAAACTCTAAGCAGATGCTGACCGTTTGTTGAGAAGATTCATGTGCATAGGCTTTTAGCAATACATCATTTAAATTGACTGTTCCATGTGGTCTTTTGCGCCTGACAAAATCCTCTCTTATGGGACCCAGGAGACATGCTTTCTCTACTTCAGAGCGTGCCCCCTGGGACGGCCTTACTCCTGAACATACAGGTAACCAGATCCTGCTCTGAAAGGATAGGATGATCTGGCTTCCTCAGGTATTAGAGCCAAGATACTAAAGCCCAATCAATATGACAGTGTATGAATTACTAATAATATGTGAATTCCCTTGATTATAATACTATGTTTATATTATTTTATTATTATTTAATATTTTAGTATTGCACTCTATATAGTTTTGTATCAGTTTTTTTATGAACACCATTTTAATGTTTATTTGTTAGTCACTCAGAGTTATTTATTTCAGATCGATGGCCCTATAAATTTTCCAAATAACTTCACATAAATAAAAATGAAAAATAGTCAAAATGGAGACCGCTCAGTTGTCTTTCATGGGTATGATAATTGTCAGAGCCTGAATTTACATAAGTATTTGTTATCAAAGGAAACCAGTCTTTGGAGAACAGCCATGTGAAAACTCATTTTTGGCTAACAGCAAAAGTTACCAAAAATAATGGTCTCTGTATCTATATTACAACAAGCAATTTTCTGGGAAACCATTTTGTGCTCTTATATTTGACTTTGATGTGACTGAAGATAGCAGTTTTTCTTTCTTCATTTCCTATCATGACTGTAAAATGTAACTGGAACATTGTGGCAATCAAAGTTATCAGCTAAAATAAAATAAATGTGTACATAACCTCCTTTTTCAACCTGTAAAATGGAAGGTACACAAGTATGCACACAGCTCTTTCTGGGTTAGACTCTAGTGCTGAATAAAATACACCAACTATTTTCTTTTGATTTTCGTTTTCAGTTCCAAAAACCTCAAGAGCAGTACCCTCCGTTCCGATTTGGAACAGTTCCCAATGGTAGTACAGAGAGAAATATCCGGAGCAATTACCACGATATGCATTCCCACATGGTAAAATACAACCAGCGCTCGGTGGAAGATGCCCTCGTCAGCCTGAAAATGGGGTAGCTTTCCATTTCTTCATCCTCAAGATTTCCGTGTGAATTAATGACATTATTTCTAACCAGATCTGAATAGGACAAGATCTCTACTCCTTTTGAAGTAGTACCAACATTGATTTCTAGGACTTAGTCCTTTCAAGTTGTAGTAATTACTTTTTTTCGGTGAGAAAAAATTTACATAGGCATTCCAATTTGAGCGGGTTGTATCTACAATTACTTTCAAATAGTAGGCGCATGTGTTGAATATAACACCATATTAGAAGGGGCAGTCTATGGTAGCCTCCTCATGTGTTAAAACCTCCTTGATGCCCAAGCTTTCTATATATTGCTAATGTTTATGGCATTAACTATAATGGAACGTCTACCAGTCTTCAGCCTACTGATAGCATTTTTGCCTACTCTCATATGACAACCTTACTTGTTCCCTTCTCCATCTGAAAAGGTGAACCTGTGAAGAGACAATTTGATGTCTCCAATAGAAGAGCATATATGTAGCTTAGGGTTGAACTGTTGAATCCTTAGTGCTCTCTGAGCTGGGTTGTCTTGCTTGCAGACATTTCATTAATTGCTAGGAAACATAATTAATGTTAGTGACTGGGGTCTATAATAACTCACCATGGCCAATTCACCACAGCCAACTTACTGTGGCCAACTCGCCACAGACAACTCACTGTGGAACAACTCCCCGTGGCCAACTCACCATGGGACAAGTTTTATACTAATATCAAAGAAATAGTGGAATAGAATCATGAAAGAAAGTATGCCAAAAGAGGGACAAAATGAAATGTGAATTACAAAAATTAAATTCATTTATAAATTATTTTACATAGTTGGCTGTGGCAAGTTAGCCACGGCGAATTGGTGTGATGAGTTGGCCATGGCAGTTGGCCAAATCGATTTGTCCCGTTCCATTGTGAGTGTGGAGTTTGCTCCCTATTTATGTACAGGAGCTTGCCTATCAGTATGTGTGGGGCTGGGGTGTTCTCCTTGGCAGTTCTTTGATTAGGGTTTTGGTAGTACCCTGAATAGGTTTAAGTAACAATCAACCAAGCAACAATTAATTTACAATTTACTTTGGTGGGAAGCCCGACAGATAGAATATTTGATGAAAATGCTAATGGGATGAAAGATGTCTGGATCAGGTTCATGTACTCACCTGGCCTATGGGTCATTCTTTCTATGTGAAGAATGGCCCTGTAGTCTATAGTCCAGCTGAAATTGCAGCATTGGCATTCTCTAATGAGTTCAACCCCAGCAGTACCAGTGATGAGATTCAATTTTTTTTTACTACCGGTTCTGTGGGCATGGCATGGCTTGGTCGGTGTAGCTTGGTAGGCATGGCAGGGGAAGGATTCTGTAAAATCCCCATTCCCACCCCACTCCAGGGGAAGGTTACTGCAAAATCCCCATTCTCTCCTGATCAGTTGGGACTTGGGAGGCAGAGAATAGATGGGGACGGGGCCAGTCAGAGGCGGTATTTACCGGTTCTCTAAACTACTCAAAATTTCCACCACCAGAACTGGTCAGAACCTGCTGAATACCACCTCTGAGCAGTACCTGAGGCAGGATTGTGCATGCTTTGAAAATGATTTGGAACATGGAATATGGCTTAAAACCTCACACAAAGACAAGTATTCATGAACACATTCTGATTTTTACCTGGCTTTCAAGTAAGCCTGGAGAAGCATTGAGTTTGCCTTGAAATCTTGACTTGTCTGAGAAGCCTGAAAACAGATCTGATTCCCTTAAATAACAGAGACATGCTACACTGGTACAAAGCTCAAAGCACTTCTTCAGAGTCATTTTAAAAAGGGGGACATTCCTATTGTCTAATACAGCCTTTCCTAACTTGGATGGAGTCCCTAGTTTCCTCCTATTGTGTTTCATAGCAATTGTTCTCTAATCTGCTTTTTTTCTGTCTGCTTGATTCCAGAAAGCTGGATGCTTTTATCTATGATGCCGCAGTGCTCAATTACATGGCTGGCAAGGATGAGGGTTGCAAGCTGGTAACCATTGGCAGTGGGAAAGTCTTTGCCACCACTGGCTATGGCATTGCCCTCCAGAAGGACTCCAAGTGGAAGAGAACAATTGATTTAGCTCTCCTGCAATTCCTGGGAGATGGTGGGTTGTTTCCTCTGTTAGCTAATATTGCTAGCTAATATTTAGGAGAAATTACTGTTTTTTCTATTTGTTTTCTTCCAGGGTCACAATGATTTGCCAAGTTCAGAGTAGAGCTTTTTCTTAATTATAATATAGAGGCATAAAACAAAAACACAACAACAACAAAAACCCCAAACATAAGAACCAAAGGAAAAAGAAAACAACAAAAAGAGATTATATTACATATTCTGTAGGGAATATGCAGTCCATTTTTGAAACAATGATGAAGGTAGGGAACATGCAGTCCATTTTTGAAACAATCATTAAACCTTGATCACAGGGAATAATACTGATGATTTGTTTTCCATTACACTAGCCCGTTTATAGATAAAAAGTGAGCACGTATCACAGGTTCAAGATGGTAACCTTGAGGCCGCAACTTTCCAACATCTAATAATAAACTTTTTTTGTTACATCTCATGCTTGATAAATCCATCATTCTTCATATATGATAAATTCTATTTTTTGGGGGGGTCTATAGAGGTAGTCCTCAATTGAGCCCCAAATTTTTGTTGCTAAGTGAGACATTTGCTAAATGAATTTTACCCCATTTTACAACCTTTCTTGTCAAAGTTGTTAAGTGAATCAGTGCAGTTATTAAATTAGTAACAAAGTTGTTAAGTAAATCTTGCTTGTCAGAAGGTCACAAAAGGGGATCACATGACCCTGGAACACTGCAACCATCATAAATGTCAGTCAGCTCCCAAGCGTCTGAATTTTGATCATGTGACCATGGGGGGGGCGGGGGATGCTTCAACAGTCATAAATGTGAAAAACAGTCATAATTCACTTTTTCCGGTGCTGTTGTAATTTTGAACAGTCACTAAATGGACTGTTGTAAGTCAAGGTCTACCTGTAATACAAAATTATCTGCAGAATTTAAATATTTATCTATATCGTTGTGTCATATAAAAGTATGGATATTGAATAAAAATGGGAGATAGTCAGACATGCCTGTAGCATGTAAGTCAGTCCTTCAACTCAATGATTTTTCAACTTTACATCTGCATTTCCTATTTCCTTTGGTAGAAACAAAGCAGGATAAAGCAGCATCTGCAAGTTGGGAAGAGGGCAGATCTTTTCACCAGAAGACAAATGGCTACTCCCACTTTCTCGATGGTTATTTGCAAATGTACTGTTTGCATAGTCTGATGAAAAGAAGGACTAGGGGTGACATGATTCCAATATCTCAGGGGTTGCAACAAAGAAGAGTCAGACTATTGTCCAAAGCACCTGAAGGCCAAGACAAGAAGCAATAGGTGGAAATTAATCAAGGAGAGAAGCAACCCAGAACTAAGGAGAAATTTCCTGACAGTTGGAACAATTAATCAGTGGAACAACTTGCCTCCAGAAGTTGTAAATGCTCCAACACTGAAAGTTTTTAAGAAAATATTGGATAACCATTTGTCTGAAATGGTATAGGACAGGGGTCACCAACCTTTTGGACCTCAGGGACCATTAAATTCATAATTTTAAATCCCACGGACCACTGATACAATTTTTTAAAAAAAGATAAATAGTATTTAGTGTAATATAAAAGATGCAAATAATTTTTCTGTGGACCACTAGTATAGTATTTCTTGCCTGAGCAGGGGGTTGGACTAGAAGACCTCCAAGGTCCCTTCCAACTCTCTTATTCTGTTACTTATAAATTAAAATTTAATTATAACATGGAAATAAAAGTAGCTCCACAACTTCAGCAGATTGAAATTCATTAAAATGGAAAGGATTTACTTCAGCTATTTTTTTTTCTATTACAGCAACACAATGGTTATGAAAGGCATCATTAGTTCTTATTTCCTCTTATTTCCTAATATATGGGTTGAATGTTGTCCTAGACACCAAAATTCTGGTGCTGAATGTTGATGATGAATTCCTTAGTCATTGAAGAAAATGTTGAAAAGCTTTTGGAAAACTGGTCCCCTCTACCCTTTTCAGTTCCCTGAAAAGGCCTTTCTCTCTCTCTTCACTTCCGCAGGAATTAAATTTTCCGCTACTTCAGCAGCTTTAATAAGTGTCTGATATACTATAAGTAAGCATGCAAGCATGTGCTTAATATGCATTAGAACTGGGGAAATTTGGGAGCTTTTATTAACCACATGTAGAAGGAGAAGAGAAGAGGAAAGCAAAATAAATATTTATGCCACTTACAGGAAATACAATAAGTTACAAAACAAACTTGGGGTACCTTTGATATGTCCCGGCACACACACAGAATGTGTCTTTCTCCAAAGCATTATTATTTAGCTCTTATTTATTGTCTAAGTCCATGATAGCGAACCTATGACACACGTGCTACAGGTGGCAGGCAGAGCCATCTCTGTGGGCACGCAAGCCGCCACCCCAGCTCAGCTCCACTGAGCATGCACCTGCACCTCCCGCCGGACAGCTGATTTTTGGGTCTTTGCTACACATGTGTGGAGGGCATGCAGGAGACATGTGCAGAGGGTCGCACATACATGCACAGGAGGTGGGGTGCGTGCAGGGAGGTGCACCCCCCCACAGCCCATTTTTGCTCCCAGGACGCTGCAGGGTGGCGTACTAGGCCCAAAATGGTGTGTGGAAAGAGCATTGGGGGGGGGTCATTTGTGCAATCGCAGGGGGATGTATAATGGGTGAGGGGCCGCTGTCGCACACATGTGCATGTGCGCACTTTCGGCACACAACAACAAAAAGTTAGCCATAACTGGTCTAAGTAATAAAGTATTCATATTCATATATGAATATGTAATCCTCGACTTACAACAGTTTATTTTGTGACTATTTGAAGTTAACAACACTATGGACAAAAGTGATTTATGACCAGTGGTGGGATTCAAATAATTTAACAACCGGTTCTCCACCCTAATGAGTTCTTCCAACAATCAGTTCACCAAACTGCTCAGAAAGTTAACCACCGGCTCTCCTGAAGGGGTGCGAACTGGCTGAATCCCACCACTGCTTATGACAATTTTTCACACTTACAACCATTGCAGCAGCTTCATGGTCACAAGATCAAAATTTGGATGCTTGGCAATTAGAATGCATTTATGACCATTACAGCATCCCGGAGGCATATGATCATCTTTTGTGACCTTCTGACAAGAAAGTCAAGGGGAAAATCAGGTATCCTTAACAACCTGTTACTAACATAATAACTGCAGTGATTCACTTAATTATGGCAAAAAAGGTTGTAAAATTAGGGTAAAATTCACTTAACAACTGCCTCACTTAGCAACAGAAATTTTGGGCTCATTTGTGGTCATAGGTCAAGGACAATTTATAAGGAAGCAGAAGGTACAGTATCTTGATCATAAATCAAGATCATGTGAAGTGTTAATACCACTTTACAATGCTTTGGTAAGGCCACACTTGGAATACTGCATTCAGTTTTGGTCGCCACGATGTAAAAAAGATGTGGAGACTCTGGAAAGAGTGCAGAGAAGAGCAACAAAGATGATTAGGGGACTGGAGGCGAAAATGTATGAGGAACAGTTGCAGGAACTGGGTATGTCTAGTTTAATGAAAGGAAAAATTAGGGGAGACATGATAGCAGTGTTCAGATATCTTAGGGGCTGCCACAAAGAAGAGGGAATCAGGCTATTGTCCAAAGCACCTGAAGGGACAAGAAGCAAAGGATGGAAACTAATCGAGGAGAAAAGTAATCTAGAACAAAGGAGAAATTTCCTGATAGTTAGAACAATTAATCAGTGGAACAACTTGCCTCCAGAAGTTATGACTGCTCCAACACTGGAAGTTTTTAAGAAGATGTTGGATAACCATTTGTCTGAAATGGTATAGAGTTTCCTGTCTAGGCAGGAGGTTGGACTAGAAGACCTCCAAGTTCCCTTCCAACTCTGGTATTCTATTCTAACTCCTTGGAATCCGAATGGAAGTCCTATTGGATTTCTTCTTTCTAGGGTTCTCACTTGCCCACTGTGCAAACCAGGGGTGGGTTCTGGCAGTCACTACTTCCGGTTCACTCGTGCGCAGTACAATAAAAATTGTTCTGTACAGAAGCAAAAAAACAAGATGGCAGCACCTACAGCACTGCCCAGAAAACCAGTTCAGGGGTGTGGCAGGCCTGGGTCGCTGCCGGTTCCAGCGACCCAGGCCACCAAACCACTACCAGTTTGGCCAAACCGGTCCGAACTGGCAGGAACCCACCACTGGTGCAAACACAATGCTGAACTAGGTAGAGCTTTAGATCTAACCTTCCAGTTTCTCTGATCTGGCAAATGTGAGCACTGAGTGGGCATATCCTAGTTATCAGCAGTGGTCTATTAAAAAAAAAAACACCACTGACTCCTGCTTGTCTGGATGCCATTCCTGTGAAAGAGACATTAAACTAATGTAAAGGGAGAGATAGATTTAACAAATAGACAATGCATGCGCACGGGTGACTTTCATATTTTCAGTTATGTACTTCAGAATTTCAGGTTTTAAAGACATTTCTGGTTTAAAGTACAGCTTTATTTGTTAGCAGATTGAAGGTTTTAATAAGGCAATGTGCTCCAGAAAAAAGTCTGCCTTGGAAGCTTATAGAGATCCCTCTTAGCTCAATTATAATTGTCTGTCAACTTAATTGAGTGTACCACTTCATTTGGTATGTTTTCAATATCTGGTTCGGATACAGAGATTTGACTTCGAGGCAGAGCTTCATGTATATTGCTGTTAATTGCCTGATTTAAGTGAGAAACTGGCGGTCAGGATAATGAGCTGGTCACTACCCACTCGTGCTGTTCCACTGATCTAAAAGGCTGCACCTGCCATGTGCTCACAGTTGTGAACTCCATGGGAGCGAAGGAAGATGATAGCTACACTCTGGTTCCCTTGAACATTTGCACTGCTTGGAAGTTAAAACTTGAAATCATAATTGTGTTTTGCCTACATCATTAGTTCAGCCACATAAATGCAGACGTAGCAAAAACAAAAACAAGCAAATACGATGCACTGTAGGAGAAGAAGCTACTATCATGGGGTTGTTTTTTTCAACCTCAGATCTGGCCATGTTAAAATGGTCACTTGGCTCAGACATTAAAAAAAAACAGCAAAAAACCTTTTCAAAACAAGACAATACTTTTTTTTCTCTTTTCTGCGAAATTCATGCACCCCAAACATCATTCCACCCACCCCCCCATAAATGTTAAGTGTTGGCCCGCAAAGGGGATGTTGTTTATTGTCAGATGGATTCTTTAGCTAAAAGTATTCCCTCTTCTACCCTTTGTCTGTTTGTGTGTCGTTTTGCAGGTGAAACCCAAAAACTGGAAACTGTGTGGTTGTCTGGTATTTGCCAAAATGAAAAGAATGAAGTGATGAGCAGTAAGCTAGACATTGATAACATGGCAGGGGTCTTTTATATGCTGCTGGTGGCAATGGGACTGAGCCTGTTTGTCTTTGCTTGGGAACACTTGGTATTTTGGAAGTTGCGGCACTCCGTGCCAAAGTCCCACAAACTTGATTTCCTTCTAGCGATAAGCAGGGTAAGTAATCTTCCTGCACAGGCAGTTTATTTATTTATTGTTTTTATTGCATTTTTGTGTTCCCCAGATGCCATCTCTTCTGAGGTAGAAGAGTAAAATCAACAACAATAACAACAACAATAATAATAAAAATAAATTATAGATAATAATATAATTATTATATTATTATAATATTATGTCACCTATGCAAAGAAGCTGAAGAAACAGTGAACCTCCTGATAAGTTGCTGCAAGAAGATTGCACACACCGACTACAAGCAGCGGCATGACAAAGTAGCAACAATGGTGCATTGGAAGATCTGCAAGAAATATCATTTGCCTGCAAGCAAGAACTGGTGGGACCATAAAATAGAGGAAGTCATTGAAAATGAAGAAGTTAAATTGCTCTGGGACTTCAGAATCCAGACAGACAGGCACCTGACGCATAACACCCCAGACTTAATAGTTGTCCATAAGAAAGACAAAAAAAGTCTGGATATTGGATGTGCCTGGAGACAGCAGAATAGAAGAGAAAGAACTGGAGAAGATAACAAAATACAAAGGCCTACAAATAGAAATAGAACAACTATAGCAAAGGCAAGCGAGGGTAGTACCAATAGTAATAGGCATCTTGGGTGGAGTCCCAAAACAACTGGAGCACCACTTGAACACCACAGGCATTGACAAATTTGCCATCAATCAATTGCAGAACGTGGTTTTACTTTGAATTGCTTCCATCCTGCGATGATATCTGTAACACCATCAAACATCCAGATTTGCCTATCCCAGGTCCTTGGTAAGGACTCGATAGGTAGACAAAAATGCCAAACCCAGACTGAACATGTGGCTGACTCTGATGATGATGATGATGATGATGATGATGATGATGATGATGATGATGATGATAATAATAATA